TGAGGGGGGAGGGAGGAGAGGGCGTGGTAGAATGCCTTGGCTCTTGGCCCGTCTGAGGCTTTGTGTGGGCCCCGGGACCCCCAGGGGGGGAGTCGTATCTGACGCGGGACCCCCCTGGGACCCCCCCGGGACCCCCATGGGGGGAGTCGTATCTGACGCGGGTCCCCCCCCGGACCCCCCCCCCCCCCGGGACCCCCCCCTTCCCCTGCAGGGAAGGGATCAAAGGGAGGGAGCTTCCCTTCGACTCAATGGCAACGTTGCTCTTGAGGGGGAAGCCCTGGAAAAGCGGAGGGGGGAGCGGCGACGGGCCCAGGGAAGAGGGGGAAAAGGGAGGAGGGGACACGGGCCCAGGGAAAGGGGGAGCGCAGGGACAGGAGACGGCTGGCCCAGGGAAGGGATGGGCGCAGGGACAGGAGACGACGGAGACGACGACGAACGAACGATGGGAACGGACAAGCCCCTCACACGCCGACACAGGGTCCGCGGATTTATGGGGGCGCGGGGCCCGCATGCAGGCCGCGCGCAAAAGGAGGCGAGGGAGAGGAGGGGCGGGGGGGCGAGGTGCGGGGGGGGGCATGCGCAAAAGGAGAAGGGGTAGAGACGAGGAGTCGGATGGGGGGAATGGGGGGCAAGGGGGGCAGGAGCAAGCCGGAGGAAAGGGGAGAAGAATAGGAGGACGACGTGACGATGATGATTCGCGAGCGGTTGCGCCATTTCGCAGCGTTCGGGTTTTCGCCAATCGTCGGCGAACCCCGGCGCTGGCCACCGATCCTGTCATCCCTCTGCCCCTCCTGTCCATTCCGCCCCCCCCTGCGGTGGAGCTCCTCCCTCGCCCGCGGCCCTGTGCCTGCGGGCCGTTGGCCCGCGGGCGCCGTGCCCTGGAAGGGTTTGGGCGGTTCTAATCGTTTTGGATTCTATTGTTTAGAGCGTGTTGGTGTGTACACACTGGTTTTGCCAGACGTCGTTATGGTTATAAATTCGCGCGGCCCTGCGTGTCCGAAAAACAAACTTGGTCCCTGACGATTGGCCGCTGAGATTCGAAGGGTTGTCCGTCCATGGAACCCGGGGCGCAGCGCCCACCCCCCCAGCCTGACTGGGCTGCTCGCGCGCGGACCCCCTTCGACTGTTTGCAGCGCCGCGCAAAGACGCGCGCGTCGCCGCGAAGCAGTCCACGCTGCGCGGCGCTAGGGTGGAGCGGATCGACCCCGAGGTCAACGCGCGCAGTTGGTGGCCTGCCGAGCGGCGCAGGACCATCGGTGCAACTTTCTGCGAAGCGTTGACAAGCAAGCCGTGGGGAGCGTCCGAAACGGCCTCCGCAAATAACTAGTGGTCGGGGCTGGGGGAGCGGGAGACGGACTCGGGAAGGGAGATGGACAATGAACGATTACACCTGAACGCCTCGCCCGTTCCGTGTTTCTGGCTGCGCCGCACGGGGCAGCCCAGCGCCCCGGTATTCTGGTGCATCTCGAGGCCACTTTTGTTTTTTGGCGGTCGTTTCGGGGGCCTCTTGAGGGCTCTCTGGAACCCCTCTCGGCCCTCGGAGAGGCGCGGCGGGCCGCGGAAGGGGCTGGGGCCGCCGCCACGGTAGGGAAGGTGGAGGTCGTGGCGCGTTGGCTCCTCCGCGCTGTTTTTGCGGGCATGCTTGCTGTTTTGGGGAAGGTTCGATGTTTTCTGTCGGAGACATCTTGAGCTGAACTTTGGGGGGCGCCAGAAGTGAGGGAGCGCCCAAAATTGAAAGCGTCGACTGCGGCGTCTCGGTGGCCAGGCGCAGAGCCACGTTCAAACTGTGGGGGCCCCAGTACAGCGCTTCGTGGCCCCATAGGGAGCTCCAGCGACGGCCCCAGTGCTACCGCCTGCATGCGTCCCCCCCGCCCAGCGTTTCGTGGCCCCATAAGGAGCTCCACCGACGGCCCCAGGGCTACCGCCCGCATGCGTCCCCCCACCCAGTATAGTGCTTCGTGGCCCCATAGGGAGCTCCACCAAAGGCCCCAGTTTACCGCCCGCATGCGTCCCCCACCCAGTGCAGCGCTTCGTGGCTCCATAGGGAGTTCCACCGAAGCCCCCAGTGCTACCGCCCCCATGCGTTCCCCCCCGTCCAGTGCAGCGCTTCGTGGCCCCATAAGGAGCCTCACCGAAGCAGATACTCACAATTGCGGTACCCACAGCTGCATATGGTTCGGTTTTTCGCCAGGATAATTTTGGAGCCGGAGTTCCAAGGTGTGTGTGTGTATATATATATATATTCCCCCCCACCTGTGGGGGGGTGGGAAGACATCAGCCCAGTGCCAGAGGTTGCCCGAGGCGCGGCTCCCACGGCCCCCCTTTGGTCTCAGAGCTCACCCCGCTGGCGCCAACCAGCTTGGAAGCCGTTCTGAAGCTGCACCGCTTCGGGAAGTCGTTCTGCGCCACCACCTCCTGGAAGCCCGCCGCCACTTCGCGCGTGTCCCGCGCGGCAGGTCGCCGTCTTGCCAGCGGGAGGCTCGGCGCCATTCCCCCGGCGGCCTCGGCGGCGCGCTCGAGCCCCGCGTGGAGCTGGCCGAAGGGGCTCTCGTCGCACCCCGCCGTGCCGTTCCCTGCAGCAGTGATCGTATGCTGCGGTGGACGGACCGTGTCCGAGTTGGCCAGCGACTCTCCCGGAGGTGGCCCAGTCCACTGGCGCCTCGTGGCAGGCAGAACCTGCAACCCGTCACTGGAGTCCCCCCGCTTCCGCCCCCGTCCCTGTTTCCCCCCCACTGCTCAACTTTCGTTGTCGCACAGTCTTGACGTCTGAAGGTCAATCGGGGACCCTTGGGTCTGCCCACCCGCCCGTCGCAGCTCACCCGATGCCGCGTCCGCTGCAGGCTGTCCGGCCTGCGGGAGTCCCTCAGCGGCCTGCTCGCGGACGCCGCGGCCGCCGGGGAGGAGCCCATGGTGTTCCGGGGTTTCGAGGCGCCGCGCTCCCCAAGGAGGAGGAGGAGGAGGAGGAGGAGGAGGAGGAGGAGGAGAATGACCAGCGTAAACCCCAGACGCGTCAACGATGTTGCAGTAAGCCTTTCCTTCAAGTTCCCCTGTCCATTAAACTTTGCGAAGCAAGTATCGACCTCCCGCCCGTGCCGGCGAAAACTTATCGTTTACGCCCTTGGAAGTGATACCCCCTCGTCCAGCGAAGATGTGGCTCTCGCCTCAGCGCCGCGCACATTCGTCCTAAAAGTTCGCAGCAAGTTCGTGGATGGAGGGCGCGCCCTTTCAGCATGTGGCTCTCGCCTTAGTGTCGCGCGCTTTCGTCTCCAAAGTCTGCACTAGTTTTGCGGGTGGAGGGCTGGTCCGCGCCCCATTGCGGGGACGTGCCCCATTGAAAGACAACCGTTCGAAAACCATGGATCGTGCCAAAACGCCATTCCTGGGATCTCAGCGCCGCGAAATCATGTGACCATACGAATGTGTCCTGAGAGTCCTAACTCTGGTCCTGGACTTCAACACCGCGAATCAACCTTACGGTTGTGTTCTGACAGTCGCAAATCGTGCAGAACGTATTGTTGGGACCTCAGCCCTGCGATCCCCTGAAATTGTTGCAAGCTTTTAGACGAATGTGCGCGGCGCTAAGGCGAGGGCCACATGCTGAAGCCAGCCGCCCTCCATTCTTGAAGCTGCTGCAAGTTTTAAAAACGAATGTGTGCGGCGCTAAGGCGAAAACCACATTCCATCCTTGAAGCTGTTGCAAATTTCAAGCTTTAGGGTCACGAGTGGCGAGGAATGTTCAGGCGAAATGCCCAGCCCGCACTGCCGACACGTCTGTGGATGCGACAAGGAGCAGTTAATGATAATGAAATGGTTTGGAGGAGGAGGAGGAGGAGGAGGAGCAGGAGCAGGAGGAGGAGGAGGAGGAGGAGGACGAGGAGGAGGAGGAGGAGGAGGAGGAGGAGGAGGAGAAGGACGTGTGATTCGGTTTTCGTGTGCGGCCGTGCGCGCCTCTGTGCGCGCAGCCCGCGAGCCCAGCCCCCGGCTGCGCTCAAGGGACTAAGGAGCCAGGGTACCAAAGAGGAGGAGGAGGAGGCGGAGGAGGAAGAGGAGATGAGGAAGAGGATGATGAGGAGGAGGAAGGAGGAGATGAGGAGGAGGCGGAGGAGGAGGAGGGAGGAGGAGGAGAAAGAAGAGAAAGAAGAGAAGAGAGGAGGAGGAGGAGGAGGAGGAGGAGGAGGAGGAGGAGGAGGAGGAGGAGGAGGGAGGAGGAGGAGGAGGGCGAGCGAGCGAGCGAGCGAGCGAGCAGAAGCCGAGAGGCGGTTAGACGGGCCGCGGGCGAGGAAGCGGGCGGCGCGCCCGCCAGGCAGCACGGAGCCTTCGCGGGGCTCGTGCTCACCCGCTGGAGGCAAAAGCCCTCGAGTCCCAGCGGGCGCACGCGGGGCCCGCAGTCCAGCACGGTGCTGAACCACGCAAGGAGCGGCATCCACAGCAGGAGGCCGATCTCGCTCGCCGTTGACAAGGGCGACGGAAACGCAGAACAAATTCGAGTGCAGGCCGTCCAGGTCCAGGGTCAAACACGACAAAAGACCAGTCACCGCACTCATAGAGAATGAAAGAAAGTCGGACTGGCTCACCAACCGCCCACCAACGCATATCTGCCAAATGCGCAAGGGCTGGCAGGACGGTTTGCCTGCCAAATGCACACAGGCTGGCAGGTATCTGGTGGGGGCCCGCAGACTAGACCATGTCTGGGTCCACATCATCATCGCTCATATTCATGCGGAGCTCCCAACTCCAAAGCTTCAGGGTATAATAGACCGTGGTCCTTGAGAAGAGCTGTCGTGTCAAGATAACGCTGGGGTTCAGCACGCACTTTGCCTTTCGGTCTGCAGTCGACCTCAGGCGCATCACTGAGCGGGTCCCTCCAACCTTTTGACTTGCACAACACGGCTCGGACTTTGGCAGACTGCCGCCGAGCATACAAAAGGGAGATATCTGTGTGCAGCGACTGGGGATGCCGAAGATGGTCAAAGTGCCGAATATTTTCGACGATCCTGCCACTGCCTCCTCTGCCACAACAGACCTTATCCAACCCTCGATGGTTGAGACTTCCAGTGTCAGAATATATAGTTGCAACAACTGGTGCAGAATAACAACGAGCGGTCGTGACCGATAACAGGGTACTCCAGGAGAGCATGCTTCTGGACCAACCAAGGCCATGGCAAGAGAGGCTCTCTCGCCGCCGCCTCCTGCTGAGGCGTGGCCACTCTGTCCTCATCAGGCTCTGGCAAAGCACAATCTCGGAACTCATCCTGCTCATGGAACCACACCTCGAACCTGGCGATGTAGCACAGCAGCATCTTGTGAAGGCGTATGGCGCCACGAACGAATCTCTCCTGCACGTCCGAGGCCGCGTGGAAAGACGCTCCAGCCTTGGCCAACTCATCGGCCTCAGCATTGCAGGCTCGATCGAACTGGCTGATCACACCTTCCCTGACGTCCGCCATGCTGGTGTGCGCCTTGACATGAGACACAGGCGCCCTGCAGAAATCATCATTCAGAGCCGTCTGTTTCCACGTGTGCGCTCTCAAATTGCCTGGACCGCAAGCCGCCGCGAAGCGGTGACAACAGCCAACTGAGCTCTTGCAATCAGACTTGACCGAGTACGATCCCATGCCGAGCTCGCTTGCTTTCAAGAGCGCGTAGTCCTCGCCGTCGCGAGCCACTTGTCTGGGCCCTTCACGACGCGGCACCGCACCGTGATACCTGGCCACTCGCCGCCTGTCGGAGTCGTAGACCGTGACTGCCCAACCTGCTGAACGTAACCCATGCACTCGGACCGAGAAAGCACTGCCGTCCACGAATACGTAGCCGCAATTCACAGACGTCACACCTCTGCGATCCACATCAATCATATCATACTGGCTAGAACGGCCAACGCCGTGAAACGTTTGGCCTGGGTGAGGGAGCAGACCACGAGCAAAACGATCCTGCCTGTCCTCAGGCTCGCTCCGCATCCTCTGCGCTGCCCTTTGGACTTCAGGAGGGATAAGCAACTGGCGCTGAGCAGCGAAGGCGTCGCACACGACGCACCGATGAAACAGCGTGCCAGGCGCCGCCTGGCATCTCGTGCAGAGCGAGGAGTGACCAGCAAAGGCTCGAGCAATCCGAACCTGCGTCCAGAGACCTCCCGTGACCACAGCTCTGAGCGAACGGCGCTCGTGAGGTGTAAGCCGCTTACCGTGCAGCGATTCGGAGATCGGTTGCCAGGCTATCGGCCCCGTCCTCGTGGTGCCTGCCCCTTGCAAGGTAGTGAGAGCATCACGATCGATCTGACGTCGAAGCCCCAGCTTGACAGTACGAGCAATCCAACTAGCAGAGCAGAGGTTAAGGTCCCAAGAGATACCTTCGTTTTCTAAAAGAGTGAAAGGGTCCAGCAACTTCCAACAGATCCTGTGCAAGCTGATCATTAACGCTGCAATAAGGGGTTCCTGCATTTCAGCCATGCTTGTGGATCGTCCAGCAGAGGAAGCGCCGAGACCATAAGTGCAGATACCACCGATGTGGTAATCGTCCCAGTGGACAGGATCACAAGGTGCGTGTGAATGGCACCGGAAGTTGCGATAGCCAGAGGATCGTTGTGCCAGCCATTCTCCGCACACATAAGAGAGAGGCCCACAGGCACCAGGCTTGAACCGAGCACCTGCGTTAAGGACGGGCATCCTGAGCTGCTGGATCCTGCAATTGGGCACCCCCGCGATAGAGCATCCCCATAGAGCATTAGACAGGACTCCAGAACGGTGTACTGCGGAGCGCTGCCTTCCAAGACCTTTAAGAGCCACAAGCCTATCCCCTTTAGCCATAGCATCTCGTATACGCGTGAGCTGAGTGCCTATTCGCCTATAACGCCCATTAACAGCGTCACCCCCGAGATCTCGATGATACTTACCCCGACCTGGGAATGGAACTCCAGCGGGCCATACATCGGCAACCTCATCCTCGATCAGGCTGAACGTCTCAGCGTCGCTAAACAGAAAACCATCTTTTCCCAAGACAACGGCAGCCCTCGAGCCTGAAGCAGGCCCACCGTCTCCTTGACAGCGAAACTGAGCTCCCGAGCAACCGTCTGCGGCCCCCCGACTGAGTGTTAACTGATGTCGTCGATCAAATTTTCAATTCTGAGGGAGCTGCGCCGAACCCCAGCGTGTCGAAGCGCACTGGCACTAACGAAGTTGAATTCTGGGGCTGCGCTGGCTAGAACGTTGTGACTCCAAGCCGGCTTGTCACGCGAGGTCTCGGAGGAGCCCCCCCCCAAAGAAAGAGTCTGGTAGGGTGGACTCCCATTTGGCCACAACGCGGTGCCTGAGCCGAGACCAGAGACGGGCGAAAATGGGAGCAGGCCTATAGGCCGCACTCCTCCCGTGACCTTAGGCAGAACACTATCAGGGCCAGCCAGACGTCTGTGCGCTCTAGATTCTTTTCCCAGAAAAGGAGGAGGAGGGTGAGGGTCGAGACGAGGACTGGCGGAAGTCTTTCAACCCGCCTCGGATGGAAGCAATCCCAGCCCAGAGCCGTCTTGCTTTTAAATGTGCTGAGCACCGCCTTCACATCATCGTCCGTGAACTGAGGCAGCGGCTCGGCTAGGGACACATCCCAATCCAAGGGGTGGGGCTCATCAGACCTGGCTGGAACGACCCAAAGACTGGACCGCTCGTTCAGCATTTCCTGCAGAGCTTCGTGAGCAACCGCGGGCAGCCCGTGGGCAAGGTCCGCGGCAGTGGCCCCTTTAGGGCCCTTCGAAAAACGATTGGCCAGGCTGGCCCCGTTGGCAAACGCCAACTCCAAATATTATTTACAGCTCTGCTTGGCGGCGGCTGCATCGGCTGCAGTGTGCGAAAGCGCCTGATCCTGGAGACATTTGCAGACCTGGGCCCTCTTGTCGGGATCCTTCAAACCTGCCGACAAGTCACCGAGCGAATTAACAGAGACGCCAGCCTCCCCCTCCCACTCCATACCATCCCAAATCCCCGAACATTCACACAACATTCGCAATGCACTGGCCTGCTGAGCTGCCTGGGGCTTGGAATCCTTGCCCTTCGCTCTCAGCCATTGCATGGTGAGACGCCTGACGGAGAGCCAGCGTTGGGTGGTGGGGCTCGCTTTCCTAAGGAGGCCCGTGCCCTATTTGCACGCAATCGGGACTTTTTCGAGCTTGCACCCAGCAGAGCGGCCGCAAAACCTTGGTCTCTCGGCGACGGGAATAGCCAGAAAGAGGCTTAGGTACAGCTCGGCCGAAGAGTACCACCTGCGAGCGAGGCTGTCGAGAGATTTGCTTTCCTCCAACTCAAAGCCTGGCCAGGGCGAAACATCACCGGGCACGAAAGGTTGCCCTGAGGAGGGCATCAAACACTTCTCGTGCTGCACTCGACGGTGTGCAAAATTAGCACCGCCTAGCCCAGCAAGCCTCAGGCCACGGCCCTGTATGGACCCACAGGCGTATCGTCGATCACACCCGCGCTCCTGATGAATGGGAGTAGGATGTCGCTGACGATGACGTAGTCGTAGTGCGAGTCGTTGCAGGTAGGTCGCCCTCCGTAGACGATCTCAGCATGCAGGATGCCCAGGAAACCAGCTCTCAGAAACGTATCACGACCGACACATTCAGACTCCACATTCCAGTCTCCAGCAACAATGAATGGTAAGCACGACTCGCGCAGAATCTGGATCACGGAGGCGAAAAGCTCGAGGTTCCCTGACTGGCCAACACTGGTGATGCCATACGCAGACGCGAATAATATCTGCATGCTGCCTATCACCGTCCTCTGGAAAAACAAACATGCGCGACTTAGTGTACTCCGCAGACGGCGAGTAAGGAGCGCTCGGCAAGGTGTTCAGGCTCAGAACCCCCACGCCGCTCGAGGTAGAAGTCGCCGTGCTTCCAGTGATTTGGCAGCTATTGGCAAGAGACCGATACCCTAGAGCATGTGACCAGCTCTGAGCGCTCTTTCATTGGTCGCCTCCGCGGGGGCGATGCTCTTGCACGTGTAGGACATCTGGCTGCAAATGCTTCGCAAAAACCAGCCACTCCAGAAAAGTCTGAACCGTAGACCGCGTATTTCTATTGTAGGTCACACGCGTGAAATCTGACTGGTGCGTGTTGGTACAAGGAGCCTCATAATCAGCCGCCCAACGAAGTGCCTTCGCGGCGTCCTGAGACGAACTCGTAGCCGGCGGCGACCACGGTACAGGCGACTCATCACCAGGCACTCCGATGGAAGAAGGGGTATTTGTGCTCTCGGTCTCGATGTCCTGCTGGTGGTAGTCACACAACTTTAACTCTGAATACTCAGGAGAAGCTGCGCCACCAAACTTACAGGCGTGAGATGAGAATCGGTCGCTGTGAGGCTGTGATCCTGACATGAAGTTTCGAATGAGGTAGTTGACGAAAGTGTTGCATCCGATGATCATGCAGTCGTCCAGCATGCGGGGGCAATCAGTAGGGATTCGATAGACTAGGTGGCTTGTAGCCACCTGCTGCCAGCTGCTTGGCCTTCTCTCGCAAGATGTGCTCCTCCACCTTCTGCAAGCGTTGACGGGCCTGCTCAGCTCGTCTCGGAAGTGCCGTAAGCTTCGCTGGTAGGGGTCTATTCCCATATAGCTTGCGACGCGATGCCTCATGCTGGTCACGAGCAACTCGAAGTGGTTGAGTTGCCCAAGGTAACTTGATTGATTCCAGCCACCTGCACATGCTTGACCAGACCATCAATCTCTTCGCGTAGCTCGTCGGACTCAGAAGACTCATTGGCGGCAGGGCCGCCATCTTGTGGCGCTCGTAATCGCTGGTTCTCGGCCCCCAGGGACTGTAAGTGCTTCTCCAGCTTGGCCATGGCTGCTGAAGACGGCTCACCACCAGGAGGCTTGCGCTTGGTGCTGCGACTTGGGGCATCTGCGGGCACAACTTGCTTGAAACAGACACCTTTGTGCAGCTTGCACTTGAAGCACTTCTCATTACTGCCGTAGTTGATAAGAGGGAGACCAGTCCGACGAAACGTGCAGAACTTACACATCCAATCAGCTTTGGCCTGGAGGTTCTACGGGCTCGGCACCATGTCTGCGCCGTGGGTAGGAAGTTGGGCCGCCAGAGAGCCCCTGGGGTGCTGGCAAGAAACTGTCGAGCGTAAACGCCCTGGCACTGCTGCGGACTAGCAGCTTCCACTTTGGCACAAGGGCGCGGAGCCCTCACATTCAAGAGCCTTGAGCCAAAATGGCTACGGAAGAGGAGGAGGAGGAGGTGGAGGGAGGAGGAGGAGGAGGAGGAGGAGGAGGAGGAGGAGGAGGAGGATAGGTACAGACTTGCAAGGGTTCGTGGGCTTGAAGAGTGTCCTGGGAGAGGCGTTTTTTTTGTTGTTGTGTGTGCATGAGGTTGTGAATCCAGTAGTAGTGGTTGTGCTTGTAGTACTCTTGAGGCCAGGAAGAGGAAGAGGAGGAGGAGGAGGAGGAGGAGGAGGAGGAGGAGGAGGAGGAGGAGGAGGAGGAGGAGGGGGAGGAGGAGCAGGAGCAGGAGGAGGTTCACTGACCAAACTTCCAGGTCTGCGAGCGGGCCGCCATTAACATTTACTCGGTGGAACAGAAAGACCGAGGAATTGCTAATGGGGGACACCCATTGCTTGGGGAACCCCCAACTCACAGCCTGTTGTCGGGGATTGCTAGATGGGGGCCAGCCCGCGCTAGCAATCCCCAAAACGGTTGCCTAGAGGTCTGCATTCTGCGCGCAGCGGTCGCAAACGGGGGGGGGGCACCGACGAGCAGGGGCGAAGCGTTGCGAAGGGGGGGAGGAGGATGGGGTAATGCGGCGGAGCGGGCGATCGGGTTGGAGGGGACAGGAGGTGGAGACCGTCGCTCGGACTTGAGCCTGGCCGAGTTTCTGCTTTGACCGGAGGCGCCCCCCGCCCGATGCCACACCAGGCTAGCGGGACCCATTGGCCTGCACGTTGACAGCAATTGGCAGACACCCTCGCCCCGGTCCTCCCCCCCTCCCCCCCGCCCCCCCTCCTCAGAGAAAGGAGCAGTCTTTCTATGGCTCCGCGCAAGCGCAGGCACCCAGACACGCCGCCTGGCGCTCGAAAATTGGCCGCAAGCGCAAGCCCACCCGAAAATTGGACACATAATGTGGGATGCAACGTGATGGAATATGAATAATTATTTGATCGCTTCGCTCATTCCGCCGGCCCTGGAGCCCTCTTTAGGGCCTCTTGGGGGCCTCTTGGGGACCTCTTGGGAGTCTCTTGGGGCTCCTTGGCGGCGTCTTCGGGGCCCCCAGGGCTTCTTGGGGGGCTCTTGGGGGCCTCTTGGGGCGGGAGGGGGGGTAGTCGATTGCGGCTCCCCCCTCGGAGGCCACGATCCTCCGGAGGAGTGTCGAAAAATTGCCCGGTCGGCATCTCTGACCCGGACTTGCGGGGACCTTGCCGGGACCTTGCCGGGACCTTGCCGGGACCTTGCCGGGGTACTTTTCGCCCAGAGACCACGGGGGCCGCCCCGCGCGCGCGAAGTAGAATATTGTTAACCAGTTACCGGAGATTTTAGCACGCCTCTGGCCCGTTGGGCCGGCGAGTCTATATATATATATATATATACACATACATATATATATATAGAGGAACAAGAGGAGGAGGAGGAGGAGGTGGAGGAGGATAGGACGAGGAAGAGGAGGAGGAAGAGGAGGACGACAAGGAAGAGCGGGAGGGGGGGGAGGAGGGGCGAGAGGGAGAGCGGGAGTCAGTGAGTGAGCGGATGAGGGAGTGAGCGGGTGAGCGAGATAGGCGGAGCAGGAGGAGGCGAAGGAGGAGGAGGAGGAGGTTTCCAGGTGTTCCGGGGCAACCTCCTGGTGGCCCGGTTCAAGGCTTCGGGCGCCCTCTCGAGGCTGCGCAGGGCCGCGTGGCAAGAGTTCAAGCAGCAGGGCGCTGCGTTCCCGGACGCCCTCTGGGTGCCGTCGTCGTCGTCGTCGTCGTCGTCGTCGTCGTCGTCGTCGTCGTCGTCGTCCTACTCCTCCTTTCCCTCCTCCTCCTCCTCCTCCTCCTCCTCCTCCTTCTCCTCCATCGTCCTTATCCTCTCCCGCGTCCTCCTCTTTCCTCCTACCCTCCTCATCCTTCTGCCCTTCTCCCTCCACCTCCTCTTGCCTGCTCGCCTGCCCCTGCCATCCTTCCCGTAGCCCCCCTGCCCCTCGCCCCATTCCCTTCTGCTTCCTTCCAGCTCCCCTCTCCCTCCTCCCCTCTCTTCCTTTCCCCTCCGCCTGCTCCTCTTCCTTCTTCCCCTCCCCATCCCTTCCCTCCTCGGCCCCCCTGTGGGTGTCGCCGTCTTCTTCTTTGAGGGTTCGCTGTCTGAGAGTGGCGCCCGCTCAGCTGGCATGGGCACGTCCAACACGAGTCGGCCTCCGCTGATTACTCTGACTCTTGACCCGCCAGGGGCATCTGGCGTTCGAGCCGCCAGCGCCTGTGGTTGTGTGGTGCAGGGGCCCTCGCCTTTCGTGCCGCCAGGGCCGAGGACCCTGTTGGGGCTTCTTGCGGCCAAGCTGCAGACGCTGCGCTGACCGCGGCCGCTGTTGAGCTGAACGGGGGCTTTTGCCGCCAGCGAGGGTGTTTTGCCCAAGTTCCGCAGACGCGCTAACGGCGAGGCAGGCAACGGCGATGTAGGTTTCGGTATTGTGGGAACGCGCGGCTCTCCTACAATTCGCTGTGTCGTTTTCGTTCGATACATCCGCAGATCGAACATGTAGGACCGTGTGGTTCGTGATGTCCTACAAATCGGTTTCCAACATCACCGTTAGCAACATCGCCGTTAGCGCGGCCTTGGGTTTTGCCCAAGGTGGGCATCGTCACGTGGGCAATGGCCGAGCAGTCGCAGTCCTGGCAAGCCGACGGTGCCCGCGGGGGAATGGCCACCCCGAGGTACCGAGGGCGAGCCCGCTGGGCGCCGGTGTCCAGGACGCGACTCGGACTGCTTCGAAGGTGTCCGGCGCTGTCGACCGCGGCCCTGAGCTCATGGTGTGCTGCCGCGCCGTCAATGGCTCCGCGCCGTGGCGCTCCTGATTTGCACGTGCTCGCTTTCTTCCAGATGCTTTTTTGTACGGTTTCGTCCTGCTGAGTGCGATCTGCCCTCGTGGCCCCGTGCCGGCTTGCCAGCTTGCCAGCTCGCGTGGTGCACAATGGCGCCATCCAGCGCACGCATGCTTCGCGCTTTCTTGTGGGCCCAGGTCAGCTGTAGGCTCACGGTTCTGGCTCCCCTTTATCGAAGATTGGCGGATCCCTGTTGTATCTGATGCCTTCATCGCTTCCTCGACGGAGTCACTTGATCCCTGCTCCATCCCTCACTTCTCCTCCACGCATCTGTTCCCTGCTCCTCGCCCACTCTCTTGCTTCTCCCTCCTCCTCCTCCTCCTCCTTCTCCTCCTCCTCCTCTTCCTCCTCCTCCTCCTCCTCCTCCTCCTCCTCTCTTCTCATCGCTCCTCCTCCTCATCTTTCTTCTCTTTCTCTTCCGTCATTCCTCCTCCTTCTCCTCCCTCCTCCTCCTCCTCCTCCTCCTCCTCCTCCTCCTCCTCCTCCTCCTCCCTGCTCCTCCCTGCTCCTCTCCTCCTCCTCCTCCTCTTCTTCCTCCTCCTCCTCCTCCTCCTCCTCCTCCTCCTTCCCAGCCTCTCGGTGCCTCACGTGGCGCTCGGCAAGATGAAGGCGACGCGCGCGCAGGTGGCCAAGATGGCGCTCGGCGAGTCCCTCGCCCCGCTGGCGCCGCAGCATCCTGCCCGGCCACGTGGCCTGACGCTGCTGGGAGCGCCGCCGCAGGAGACGAGGGGGGAGGAGATGATCGAGGATTGGACGTGCGGGGTTGGACTGGAGGGTTGGGACGAGGGGGGCGAGGAGAATCGAGATTGGCAGGGCAAGGGGGAGGAGGAGGAGGAGGAGGAGGAGGAGGAGGAGGAGGAGGGGAGGAGGAGGAGGAGAGGAGGAGAGGAGGAGGAGGAGGAGAGGAGGCTGAGGAGGAGGAGGAGGAGAGGAGGAGAGGGGAGGATCAGGAGGAGGTATGGAGGAGGAGGAGGAGGAGGAGGAGGAGGAGGAGGAGTAGGAGAGAGGAGGAGGAGGAGGATGTGATGAGGAGGAGGAGATGATGATGAGGAGGAGGAGGAGGGAGGAGGAGGAGGAGGAGAGGAGGAGGAGGGGAGGATCATGAGGAGGAGGAGGAGGAGGAGGAGGAGGAGGAGGAGGAGGAGGGAGGAGGAGGAGGAGGAGGAGGAGGAGGAGGCGGAGGAGGAGGAGGAGGAGGAGGAGGAGAGGGGGAGGAGGAGGAGGATTAGGGTACGGGGAGGGGAGGAGGAGGATAGGAGGAGGAGGAGGAGGAGGAGGAGGATTTTTTTTTTTTTTTTTTTTTTTTTTGGGTCGACCCATGATCAGCCACATGACTCCGCTGGCGTGGCGAGTGCCAGCGAGTTGGCACCAAAAAACGGCGCAGGCCGCGCCACGGTCGGGGCCAAGCCCCCGTGGCGCGACCTAAGCGCGACCAGGGAGCGCTGGGAGACCGTGCTCCGCGCTCCCTGGTCGGGGTAGGGGGCGCGAGCCGTGCTCAGCGCCAACCCTACCCACCACCCACTCCATGGGTGGCCGCGTTTTACGGCCCCGGGACCACGACACGACGCGACACGACAGGGGGACGAAACGAACGACGCGACACGAACGACACGAGACGGACGAGCGACACGACGGAGACGAGCCGCCAGCCCCGCCCCAGGGCGGCGAGTGCTGGGGGGGACCCAGCACCGCCCTGGGGGAGCACACGGGGCCTGGCGACCCCCCCGGGGGAAGGAAACCGCACTTTGGCGGCGTCCCCCGGGGTGCGGGGGATTTTCGCCCCTCGGGCCCGGCGCTCCCCGCCTGCGCCAGGAGGACCCTGGGGTCCCGACCCCTCCCCTACGGGAGGGGCCCCCTCGGGGCAGGAGGAGGAGGAGGAGGAGGAGGAGGAGGAGGAGGAGGAGGCGGAGGAGGAGAGAGGAGGAGGAGGAGGAGGAGGAGGAGGAGG